CGTTTTACCACCCACGTTCAAACCTGTCTTGCAGCAAAGCAGGTTGATGCAAGTTGCGTGAATACTGACTTCTGATTGGCCAAAATTACGCGGGAGTCACGCCATACACGGGAGTTACGCCTCTTGCTACAAGACAAGTTTGCCTTGGGTCGGTAAAACGCTAGCCTCCCACGCAGGCGTTTTTAGGGGAGCTAGTGTTTCTTCCCTCCCCACAAGGTAAGAAATACGAGCTCCCCTAAAAACGCCTGCGTGGTAGGCTAGTAAAACGCCCAACAAGTGCAGACTTTGTTGCAAAAGTAGAATTTCAGTCTCTTCTCTGCAACAACTTTTCGAAACCTGCAACAAACTGATTTGTTGCAACGCAGGTTTGATTCGAAGGTGGTAAAACACGTAACATCGCTATTTAAATCATTTCGGAGGAATGTTACAAAACAAGTTGTACGTTTTTGTTGCCTGTTTTACCCTACCTTTACTTTCATTGGGTCTTGCGGATCAAAATTAAGTGTCAGAGTCACGCAAAGTAAAGTGTCAGAGTCATGACCAACACGATTGACTAAACGAAATTGTAAATTGACTCATTTATTGTATTTTGCACTTATTTGTAGAAAGGAAGCCAATATACAATGAATACAATCATCGTAGCACTTAGTGTAGAAAGGCTTTATATTACTTGCTAATTTTAATGCTTTAAAAAACGCCTTCAGGAGAGTGTGTTTCAGGCTCTCAGTTGGTCAGGGCGAGCGAAAAAAACGAGCCAGGAAAAAAAAAGAGAGAGGGAGAAAAAAGGCGTGGGGTGGGAGCCCTGAGGATTTCTTTTAGGGCCTCTTCAGCCTGCTTTCTCCCCAGTCCTCGCCCATTTTTTCTTGCTACCCAGTTGTTTTTGGCTCGTTCAGTCTAAAAGAGGGCCTGGGAAAGAATAGTTTGTAAAGGGATGGGAGAATTTCATCTCCATCATTGTTTATTTGACTATGGTTGCTTAGTTTTCATATTAGACACTGGCCTTGGAAGAAGCTCACATAAGATGGAAAAGTCCCGAGGCGTTCTCAGTATCGAAAATGAACCAACGTTTTTTTTTTTAATTTGGACGTCATCCCTAAGATTCATCTCCACGCGGCAAAATTCGCTTTATACTTTTAAAAAATTGGACAAGGTTAAAATAAAAGAAATGAAGTTTAAAGAACAATAATGATTGCAGTTAACAAGTGATCAGTTTTACGGCCGTTGCCGTCGTAGTTGCTTACCATGCATCACGAAAAGAACGAGAGTTTCTCAGTAAATTTTGCCGCTTACTGGAAATGAACAGCTAATATAAAACATTATCCTCTAACGCTAATTCCAATTGCCCCAAGGGATTTTAAAATATATAAAGACCAGGAAATCTACACGATAACTGATTTCAATTTACCTTTCAAGTTGAGGTTAAGTCCCCTGAGGCGTTGTTCAATGTTTGGAGAATTACTGAATAACGCGGCTCCAACTCAAAACAAATTTTACTTGGGAGTGTAGGAGACCGAATTGACGACGCCCACCACTGATTCTTGTTTTTTTAAAACAATCCCCGTTACGCAGACTTTGTAATGTTTAGTTATTTGGCGATGACAATGCTTAAGTCCTGAATTTGCCTTAAAAATTCGCTGGATAGAGCCACCAATATCTTATCAATATCAAAGGCAACACTAATTTCATTCAATTTGTAAGAATATGGCCGAATCAGGTCGTTTTATTATGAGTCCAAATTCATTGGTGATAGCGAAATACGAGGTTCTAATGACTAACAGGGTTAATAAGTGCCTTATTGCTCAATTGGAAGAATATCTTCCCTATAATGCAGAATTAGGCTTTTTAAATCACAGGCAGCCCAAGCTCACGTCACGTGAAAGGATTAGATTAATTATTAGCGGTGTGCGAGCCGGGACGTGACTGTTCAACGAAAGCGGTATTGGGTTACATGGCGGCCGTGAATTTATAAAGGATTTGTATGGGAATCCACGTTATAGATTTAGGAAGATAAATACTCGTAGAAATTCTCAATAAAAAACGTCTTACCTTATTTACATGGTGTGTTCTTGCTTGCTGTGTGGTTATTTTCCC